TTTATATTGCATGCATTACAATCATTTCTATTATTACTCCAGACAAATCACAACCACAACAAAATTTAGTGATTTCTATCGCCCTTTATCTATAACATCAAGGATGGCGAATATGAAATCTTCCTAGAATACTGCAGATTAAGGTTTTGTGGGCCACTAGAATGATTGTGCTCTGTTTAGTTGATGAATTAGAGTCCTTCAAAGTCTTGATTAGGTCTATTGACATTATACTTCTTCCTGTCTGCTAATCATCATAATCGCCGACCTATGCTTCCGTATTTACTAAAGAACATAGACCCTAATTACCAAAATAAGAATAACAAATAAACATAGACCTTAATTTCATTTGGAAGTGAAATGCTTGTAAATGTTTATAAGAAAATTTTCTTCCAGGCCCCAAATTGTAAAAGGTAATGTGTCCCAGTCCCTCATACTTTTAGCTATGTACTGTAGCCCCCAAAATTTGAGAAAATTATGCCCCAAACCCTCCAGCTCATGATTAGCCCCATTTTATTTGTTTTTTTACCCAAAAACCCAAGTTTACCCCTCCCCAAAATCACTGACATCTTTTCAAAACCCAACTTCTTCTTCCTCCTCTTCCTCCTCTGTCATCATCTCAAAATCCAAACTCCCTTAACCGTCGGCGATCCCCTCTCCTCCACCGTCCTCTTCACCTCACCCTCCGACCTCTGCTACGAGCTCGCATCCCTCAATCGTGGCCAGTGGTGCTCCGTCGCCGACAAGGTCGTCGCCGCCCGCTCCCTCAACCGCGTCTCGATCCCCACGAGTACCTCGTCTGCCTCGCCTTCAACGTCCTGGCCCTCTTCAAGCTCCGCAACTTCTCCGCCTCCTTCCTCGAGATCCAAACCATACTCCCCTTCGACTCCCCCAAATATTGCTACGAAATTCCCCTAAATTCCAAAATGGGCATCAGCCTCTCAAACTCCACATCAAAAACCCACAAATTCTTCCTCCTCACAAACTACATCCTCATCGGTGCCGCCACAAGCTGCATTTTCCTAGCCCTCTCCCTCCGCCTCCTCCCTCCTTCATCGGCTTCCTCCTCATCCTCTTCCATCTCCTCACCATCATCCTCTCCATCTCCTCCTCCTCCTCCTTAGCAACCTCATCATCCCGGGCCCATGCGGCCCACATGGCCTCCACTGCCATCACCATCATTTTCTAAGGTGTCATTGCCCTCCTCATCTTCTCGACGACCAATAGATTTCTTGAGAATACGAAGTCTTGTGTGCAAGAGGAGGATGACGTTGTGATATTGAGGATTGTTGGGGCTTTGGGTTTGGTTATGTTTGAGCGGGTTGTGTTGGTGTTGGCTTTTGCGATGAGATTCTATGTTATGTGAAAGAGGGGCCAAATGGGAAAGTGCAACATTTTGGGGATTATAATGCTAATGTGAGGAAAGATTGACCTTCATTTCAAGTTGTTTGAAGGGGAAAATTTATGGGGATTTGGGATTAAATTTGGGTACTGTTGTAATTGATAGAAAGAGATTAGTTGACTGTGTTATGTTTTTATTGTTATAAACTTATAGTTTATGTTGCTATGCTATTGATGTATAACTTTCAATGGAGGGATTATTTGACTTTATGGGATGTGAATTGTCTGTTAAGTGTTATGTATAGCTAAGAATTTCAGGTCATATACACGTTAAATGATAACAGTTAACAGATTATATATAACAGTTAACAAATAATGAGTACAGTTAACCGTTTATAAGTAATAGTTAACAGATAATTGATTATAATTAGTAGTTTATAAGTAACAATTAACAAATAATAGATTATAGTTAACAGTTTACAAGTAATAGTTAACAGATAATGGGTTATTGTTAATAATTTATAAATAATAGTTAATAGTTAACGATTAAAAGTTAACAGATTACAAATAATTCATTATCTTGTTAACTATTAATCATTAACTATTAACTGTTATTTATAAATTGTTAACTATAATTCATTATTTGTTAACTGTTACTTGTAAACTGTTAACTATAATCCATTATCTGTTAACTGTTATGTATAATCTGTTAACTGTAATCCATTATCTGTTAACTGTTATGTATAATTTGTTAACTGTTATCATTTAACTTGAGGGACCAAATAATTGTTTATGGGCTTTTACTCTCAAGTTTCACCTATTGAGTAGAGGTCATTGGGGACATGCCAAAGGATCTTTTGTACCTCCTGTCAAAACTACAGGCATCACTGATGACGCATACAATAAATCTCTTCAAGCTTCGACCATTGGCGAACATAAGACAATGTCCCTTCTAATTCAATCAGTTACACTGACCATTCGACTACAACTAGTTAATTCCACTTCCGCAAAATCCCTATGGATGCATCTCCAAGGTTTCTACAATCGACAAGATGATGCACGTGAATATCATCTACTTCAAGAAGTCGCTTTGGCATAACAAGGTGAAAGATCCATTCATGAATCTTATATTTATATGCTTGATTTGTGGTAGCATCTTGCAACTCTTGAACCTGCCATACACGTTAAATGATAAGAGTTAACATATTATACATAACAGTTAATAAATAATGGATTACAGCTAACATATTATACATAACAGTTAGCAGATAATAAATTACAGTTAACAGTTTATAAGTAACAGTTAACAGATAATGGATTATAGTTAACAATTTATAGGTAACAGTTAATAGATAATGAATTATAGTTAATAGTTAATGATTAATAGTTAACAGGATAATGGATTATTTGTAATCTGTTAACTAACACCCTTATCCTGTTAAGTATTAATCGTTAACTATTAACTGTTATTTGTAAACTGTTAACTATAATCCATTATCTATTAACTGTTACTTATAAACTGTTAACTATAATCCATTATTTGTTAATTATTACTTGTAAACTGTTAACTATAATCCATTATCTGTTAACTATTACTTGTAAAATGTTAACTATAATTCATTATCTGTTAACTGTTATTATTTAACATGCATATGACCTAAAATTCTAAGCTATACATAATAGTTAACAGACAATTCACATCCCATAAAGTCAAATAATCCCTTCATTGAAAGTTATACATCAATAACATAGCAACATAAATTGTAAGTTTATTATTTGGTGGGAAAATTCGAAGAAGACAATTGAGAATAAAATTGTGTTATTCTCTCTAACTGATTTAGATAAAGAATGATTACACTTCTCAATACAATTTCTCTCTAACAAACTTAGAAAAAAATTTCAAACTTCTCAATCGGAATCCCGATTTATAAAAGAGAGAAGGAATCGACAGAGATCCTTAACTTTGTTTAAACTGGATTCTTCTTGGTGTCGATGGAATGCATTCCTCAAATACTCGCGTCGAGTTTGCTTTCCGTTAATGATCCAAACGCTTAAACTCAAGGAACACGATTGAATCCTCTTGATTGATGTGGAGGAGAACTTGCATGGCAAGTTTGAAAATCTCTTAATGAGTTTAAGAACTCAGAGTGAGTTTTAAACTCTGTAACAGAGTTGATTTGAATCAAAAATCAATTTTAAAGCCAAACACCAAGCTCCAAAAACCTCTGTTGCCGAGGGAAGCCCTGAGATCTCCAAGAACACCAATGTTGATCTCTTTTATGCGATATTTTGGATGCCAAAAAGTTGATCCTTAACTCTGTAGAGTTTTGAAGTATTTATAGGTGGATTAAGGAGTGTAACCGCCTCCTTAATCCACTCCTAAGTAGGGTGGAAATCCCTCAAATCGTGAGGAGAAAATAGTTTCTAGAACCGTTTAAATCATGTTTGAATGAGTCAAACTTAGCGGTTAGAAGCTACGTTGGCAGCTTTTAGAAGCTGCGTTGGACAGCAGATGGAAACTGCGTTGGGTAGTGTTTAGAAGCTGCGTTGGGCAGCAGATGGAAGCTATGTTGGGCAGCATTTAGAAGCTGCATTTATGGCTAGATATAGGCTGCGTTTGCAACTGATTGTGAGTTGCGTTTATAGCTGATTGTGAGCTGCTACAGCTGATTGTGAGCTATATTTGTAGCTGAATGTGGGTTGTGTTTGCAACTGATTGTGAGCTGCGTTTGCAACTTTTATAGCTGATTATGAGTTGCGTTGTCATGGCCATTTGGTTTCATTTCTGGGATGCAGAGATGAGTTCTGTGTCTTGGACTGAAGAGATCATTGACTTGTAATCTCTTCTGTCAAAGCGTTACAAAGATCGTCGTTTTGTAATCTTTGCTTTAGCTCCTTGAAATATGAGAGTCATCATATTATAATTCTCGCTATTGATTGTGAAGATTGTTGAATCAGAGGTCTCATCGGTTATCGTGAAGGTTATTGAATCGTAACCTTTCTTGATCTGTGTGAAAATCTTCTAATTGTCGCCTTCATTTGTTGATGTGAAACTCATTTGCTTATAACCTCTAACATTTGTGTTTGATAGGGATCAACTATCTGTAGTAATTTTTAGACAACCTACAGAACCTCCTCCAAAGTTTTTAAAAGTTTGCGGTTGACTAGAACGAATTTTCGAAATACTTTGGGTCCCTAAATTGGTTTAAGATCTGTTGTTGAATGATGGTTCACTATATCTATTTTGAAGGTATCATGAACCTGATTATAGAACTTTGCTACATAGAACCCGTCTGTTGGTGATCACAATAGGATTTTTGATAAATCCTTAGCCATCAACAGATTTGATATGCCTTTACCGATTACCGTTTGAAATCGGGCTAGCATGTGAATTATCTTAGTCTGTTCCATATGTAACGTTATGCTAAAAGAATAATCTCTTTTAGGCTTGGTGCTATGATATTGAATACATAGGCTTTGTCGTTTTTACGGGGAAAAGACTAACCGGCGACGCGTGTTAGGCATCGACTTGTCTTTGATTAGGGATCGAGAATAAATCCCCTATGCGTGTGAGGCATGGATTTTGGCATTATTAATAACAGCCCGCTACGATATTGAATACATAGACTTTGATGAATATGTGAGATGCAACTCACATTTGATCAGAATAATCCTTGTAAGAATTGATGAACACCGAATGTGTAGCTGCAAGAGTTGGGTAAGAAAGAGCCAAGGACAGCAGAGCAACTATAGAAACACCAGCTGTAAAACTTGTCAACGATGTCATCCTCAGTGAGGTTGAGCACCTCTGGGATGAAGATAGATCCATTGTCATAGATAGAGAGAACCACAAGCCTGTATGAGAATGACTTTATCCCAAGTTTGGCAAGGAGGGCAACCTCAGAGGAGCCAACTTTGCCTCCTTTCTTGATCAGCTCAACTAGGGTAATAATTTCAACAATACCCTTGTTAACCTTAGTGGGTATGTTAATCACCTGGAAGAAAGGATGAGTTGCGCGAGGAATCAAGCTCGATATTGTTAGCGACATCATTTATAACATGTTTGTACCCATCCAAGAGGTTACATAACTTCTTGTTGTAACTCAATTTTCTTCTCGGCTTCCGTCACATTGATGGCCATTGCTAACTTCTCTCCAAGTATCTGAAGATGTATAATAGCCCTGTTGGTTATGGCGAATTAGCGCATAAGTGGAACCTATGTTTTTGGAGTTGAAACATAGGAGAAAGCCCCAATGTTTTTGGAGTTGAAATGCAAGAGAAAGCCCTGTGTTTTTGGAGTTGAAATACAGAAGGAAACCCTGTGTTTTTGGAGTCAAGACGCAGGAGGAAATCCTGCGTTTAAGATTCTAAGACTCAGCAATAAGCATCTAGGAGTTCAATCGACTCAGTGTGAATGCAAAGATTGCGTTTGGGCGGGATTTTCTCCTCAAATATCTTCCTGATTTGACAGCTCACCACTACCTATAAATAGACCATCGGGGTCAAATCAAAAGTCATTCGACTTTCCTATTCTTCTCTGGTGAACGCAATGAAGATTTTTGTTTTCTTCTCCATCGAGTAGTGCTCATCTTTTCTAACAAACCCAATGAATTTTTTTCGTTTCAATTTCCGGTGAATCCTATTCATCTTCTTCAACAGGGTTGGAATGGCTCCCAAGAAGAGAACCGCTTCTAAATCAAAGATCGCCCTTGTTCAGGGTGCATCGTCAGCCGAGGTAGCTGGTGGTGCTCAGGCGACCGCACTGCCGCCACAAGTTCCCTTAATTAATGGTAAGTTTGGATCATTAAAACTTGTTTTGACAAGTTCTACATCGTTAACGCTGAGTGAAAACTCATGTTCTGCCATTAAAACACAGAGGTTACCCTCAGTGTTTCTTGATTTTGGGACACATAGTTAACCATTGCGTTTTAGAACGCAAGTCTGGATCCTGCATTTTAAATTTACAACGTAGGTTTGGACCCAGCGTTTGAAATTTAGAACGCGTGTTTGGACCCTGCGTTTAGAATTTAGAATGCGGGTTCGGATCATGCGTTTGGAATTTACAACGCATGTCTTGGCCCTGCGTTTTGGATTTACAACGCAGGTCTGGACCCTGCATTTGGAACTTAGAACATAGGTTCGGACCCTACATTTGGAATTTACAATGCATGTCTAGGCCCTGCATTTTGGATTTACAATGTAGGTCTGGACCATGCGTTTGGAATTTAGAACATGTGTTCGAACCCTGCGTTTAAATTTACAATGCAGGTCAGGACCCTGTGTTTAGAATTTAGAACGTGGGTGTAGACCCTACATTTTGGATTTACAATGCAGGTCTAAACCCTGAGTTTGGAATTCGGTCTTTTTCAAACTTATCATTAGTTTCGCATTAGCTGGTCGTCTTTTCCATTTGTAGTGCGCTATTCCAACAAGTCTCTTTCCTTCAATCATTACTTCTATCATGTAGGAGGTGCATAAAAAAATATGCTCTTCAGTTTTAGTTTAGAGTATCCGATATTCCAGGATACGAACAAAGAAAGGGAAAAATTCATCACTCAGGCTTCTCCTAAAACCCTCAGATCCCTAGTTATAGATGCAAAGTTCGAGACAGCAGAGCGTAAAGTTTTAAAGAAACCAGCCTTCCTTTTTTGGAGATTCTATTAATATGGACCAAAAGCAGATGTTTGATGAAAATTACAAGTGGCTGAGGATCATCAATGATCGTTGCCTTTTTCTGCTTAATCTGGAGCGAATGTGGTCAATCTCTTATTATAAGTGTGCTTCTATTCCGCGATCTATGGATTGGGAACTTGTCTAGGAATAAGGTGGTGTCGCTACTGGACATATTACTCATCACCAACCAACTAGCTTCAATTACTTTATGAGTTTGAAGCCTAGTTCAGTTAAAAGGAACATCTCATCGGGGAGCCTGCTAAACTGGAAAATACATTCGTTGGAAAATTTATCTCTGTGTAGGGAGAATTCCCCGCCCAAGACTTTAGAGCTTCGACATGGGTACATTCCACTGAGACAGAATGGTGGGCTCGGATGATAAATTTTGTTCTGGAAGAGTTGGATGAGCCCCTTAGAATTTCTGGCCTGAGAACCTCGATATTGGCTACTCGATACGGGATTTCTGAACTACAATGACCTTTTCGCTATGTTAGAATTCTATAACCCTCATACCGACACCTTTTTTACTTCTGTTGGTGAATTAGGTTTTGTACTCCATGAGATATTTGAGGTCTTAGGCTATCATTTGTAGAATTACCCTATGAAGAGTTTGTTCCTAGGAGTAAAGAGTTAGAAATTTTGAAAAATGGTGTCCCGGCAATCTATGACACTTATCGGGAGTTAACGTGCCATTTCAAAATATGTGCACAGACTACCGGTAAGCGAGCAAGTGGTGTCAAACAAGGACAGTGGGCTGAGTATCTTTTTCAAAACTTGTATCATAAGGATGCATAAGTAACTTGCTTGGCCGCCAATACACAGGAAGAAATTCATGAGCGTATCAACGATGCAACCTCCCACTACACTTGTGAGGCAGAGGAAGATGTTTTCCCGGCATACACTATGTTTGAAAGTTTTTACTATCAGACCGAGATTCCAATTTCCGACATGGCCTTATTTGCTAGTTTTCTCACACTTTGATTAAAACATTATGTAGTACCAACCAGACCCATGGATGCCATTACAGCAAAAGTATTCTATCCAGCTGTTCTTATGGCTTATGGGCGACCTCTGAACCTCATGTCGGTCATGGTATGCTATTTACAGAGTGGCCTTCAAGAGTTGGCCTCTGAATTTATTGTAGTTAAGAAGTTGGAATCAGATGAGAAGACCATTATCCAGAATCCTACCCCTCGGGTGCCGATGCCATATATTTACTTGGTATCTTGGTTCGTGCTACACTGTCCTTCCCTGATGTCAACTTCTGCCTTGAATAATACTTTAGCTCCTATCGTTTAGCAATTAGAGACTGCTCGATGAGTTGGTTGGTACCAAGTTAAGTTCCAAGAGATATTGAGGTGGGACTGTAACTATGTGATAGCTTGTAGTTTTCCCACTTTTGAAGGTGGTGCATATGGGGAAATGCATTGGGATACTACGAGGTGTAATTCATTCACTGCGCTTAGTAGAGGTACTTTCTGGTGGTTTATAAACATACGCCTGTGTTACCTTGTCTTTCAGCAAGGGAAGAAGTGCTTTATTGAACCATATCATCCTTATCGCTTCTCCCAGTAATTCGGCTATGATTAAATTTATGTTGAAAATCCCAATCCGGCACTTGCATATATAGGCAACATGTACGAAGGGGCAAGAGCCTGGTATTACTCAGTGGCAGGCTGCACAGGGGCAACATTTAAATTGTTAAACAAAATGCCCAACGCCTACACTTGTTGAGCTTTTGTGCTTAGTATCAGGCTACTTCACAAATCCCTGAGTACAAAATTTATATCTCTTGCTTGAAAGCTATTCTAAAATGGTATGATGCAAAGAGGAGTTCCAAAAAGTCATGCACCAGAGGAGTTAGCGAGTACTTATAATATGAGGAAGTAATTGCTGAGGGGGAAAAGCAACAAGCACAAGAAGGAGTTCAAGTAGAAGAACATAGGGTGCCTGCAACTCACGAGATGGAACCTTCAAGGGTGGAAACTAATGGAAAGAAGGCCAAGGGGAAATGAGCTCTTGATCCAACTAAAGAGGGTGAATAAGAGAAGCGAGCTCGTCACAAGTTAACACTTGAACCTCCCACTTCCAAACTTATGCAAGATGCCCGTAAAACATGACATGTGGAGGAAGAAGAACGAGAGTTGACTGCTATGGAGCTCTCACATCAGTCTGGGCTTCCTTTAGTTGGCTAGCTCTAAGAGGTCCTACCTCTTCTGTTCATCCACTGGTTAAAGAAGAAGGTGGGGAAGAATCACTAATAGGGGATGCAGAATCTATCCCAACAACGGGCCCTACAACTCCATTTGAAGAGGATAGGCCTCCTACAGGTGAACCTATAGTAGCCGAATCTGAAAAACACGGCGGAAGCCCATCTCCCTCTGCTTCAGCATTAATGCCATCGATGGGGGACACAAGACTCAGCCCTACCACGGGAATCCTATTCAAGCCAACTACCACTATGGACTCACCTGAACATTCGGCAATCGGTGATGAGGAGAAAGTGGATTATGAGAGTTCTCCGGGTGGTGATGAGGTTGATGATGATGTAAGAGATGACAACATCGGCGATGACACTGACGATGACGTCAGTGAATAAGACTCTTTGGATGAATGCGCTGATTTTGATGATATGCCGAGGGTTACTTCAGACAAAGCATCCACTTACATCTGTATCTCTTCTCCAGGTAAGTGTTATTCATTTTAGACTTCCCCAAGAGTTATCTTTTGTATTCTAACAAAATATTTTTTTTCTATGTAGGGTCGCCGACTCTCATGATTGAGGAGGCCACAATTGTAACTTTGCCACCAAAACAGTTACCACTTACACCAACAACTACTCATTCCTTTAACAATTTATCTCACTCCGATGGTGACTGTAAGTGCCCCAACTTCGTCTCCAAATCCTACGTTTAAGGGATTAACATGGGACAAATTTTCAAAACCGACCCATTTGAACATTTAATTGCAAAAAACGACTCGTTTTCAAGATATTTGTAAAAACCGACCTGGTTTCAGCCCTGGCGCTGAAACCAGGTCGGTTTTTAAAAAAAAATCTTCCGAAACTTCACGGGAGTTTAACTCCCGTGAAGTTTAGCAGACAAATTATTAGTCTGCTAAACTCTCAACTCCCGTGAACTTCTTGAACTCCCGTTGCTCTTCGCTCTTTCTCCAAATCCGAACAAGAAAAATTAAAAATTAAAAATAATCAAAAAATACACCTCCTCCTCCACCAGCATCTCCCTGTAGCTTCCTCTTCCTCCTCAGATTTAGACATCAAAGCTCTCCTCAACCTCAACTTCAAGAACTCCTCAAAAATTAAAAAGAAGAAGTAGAATCGTGTGAGATTTTGGGGGAATGCTGAGGTTGAAGGGAG